AAAGAGAAAAGGGGTGGGGGAGAGAGATGGGGCGGGGGAAACTAAAACTGAAGGGCATTTACTGAAAGTGCCGCTGTGTAATTAAGAAAATTTGAGAAAATTAATATCGACTACAGGTTTGATATATACAGCTACTGATCGCTAATATTTTTCTTATCTGGCCATTCTTCTTGTTTTTCTCGCCGTTCTTTGAAGATATCAATTTTCTTTCTCATCCAGACATTCCATTTTAAATCATGCGACTTGTATAGTGTTCACTGGAATGGATGTGATCAAAAGACAGGAAAACGAAAAGACAAACATTTCGACTACATTTTCTGTTAGAATTCGTATTTAAAATAATAAATGACCTGTACAATTGCCAGCGTCTACAGCTGTCGCTTTCTTAAATCCTCTCCTGCATTGTAATCTTTTATTGCAATGCAAAACAACCAGTACTTTTTATAAATTCATAGCAATTTATAGCGTCCTCATTCATTCGTAAAAGTGTTTTATCTCGGCGTTCAACGACCTTTACTCCACGTCTCATCTAAATTATATATTTGTTGAAGCTTGGATAAGCATGGAATAATAATAATACAACACAAAATGTACGTAAACAAAATGTATTGAAACAAGGAAAAGGTACACAATATTTACAGTTAGTTTTGGTATATTCTTGGGAAGACTGTTCCTGTAGAATGGGTTGACTTAATCGCAGTCGGGCAGAGTCTCTCGATTCGATCTCTTCTTCCTTCTTCTCCGTCTTCCGGTGCCAACCCATATTTATATCGGTCGGTACTCCACTATGTAAATTAGGTGGATCGTACCACAACAATATTATAATATACAAGGCAGATGAAAATATTTGTACTAAAAATCTTTTCTTCGTATAAATTCGTTGCTTCCTTATTCAGCCAACAGATTGTGTCTACCTGGATTTCAAGGACCTACGATCCATTTAGCTAAATTGTTCTATCAGGATAATGCAAATATTTCTTGCATGTTTTCTGAAACATTTGATTTAACATAATACATGCATTATTATTCAGTTATTCAAGGGTGTTTCCCTAGTATTCAAGTACCTTTGCGGGTGGTATATTGGCTCGCAAACAGATATTGAATGATGGATTACACCTAGGAAAAAACAAAGATATGATTAAAGATATATATTATCTAGATTATATTCGTTAAAGAAAATATATCAACAAAAATAAGGTGCACGAGGCAGAAAATTTACTTTTATGTTCATGTCGAGGGTGAGAGCAGTTTTCTAGTCATTGAAAAGTGTTGTCCTGAAAAGGACAGTTTTCTAGTTGTTGAGAAATGTTATCCTGAAATGAACAGTTTTGTAGTTGCTGGAAAGTGTTTGTCCTAAAAAGGACAGGTTTAAGTTTTTAAAAAAGTATTGTCCTGAAAAGGACAGTTTTCTCGTTGTTGAAAAGAGTTGTCCTGAAAAGGACAGGTTTAAGTTTTTTAAAAAGTATTGTCCTGAAAATGACAGTTTTCTCGTTGTTGAAAAGAGTTGTCCTGAAAAGGACAGGTTTAAGTTTTTTAAAAAGTATTGTCCTGAAAATGACAGTTTTCTCGTTGTTGAAAAGAGTTGTCCTGAAAAGGACAGGTTTAAGTTTTTAAAAAAGTGTTGTTCTGAAAAGGACAGTTTTCTCGTTGTTGAAAAGAGTTGTCCTGAAAAGGACAGGTTTAAGTTTTTTAAAAAGTATTGTCCTGAAAAGGACAGTTTTCTCGTTGTTGAAAAGAGTTGTCCTGAAAAGGACAGGTTTAAGTTTTTTAAAAAGTATTGTCCTGAAAATGACAGTTTTCTCGTTGTTGAAAAGAGTTGTCCTGAAAAGGACAGGTTTAAGTTTTTTAAAAAGTGTTGTTCTGAAAAGGACAGTTTTCTCGTTGTTGAAAAGAGTTGTCCTGAAAAGGACAGGTTTAAGTTTTTAAAAAGTATTGTCCTGAAAATGACAGTTTTCTCGTTGTTGAAAAGAGTTGTCCTGAAAAGGACAGGTTTAAGTTTTTTAAAAAGTGTTGTTCTGAAAAGGACAGTTTTCTCGTTGTTGAAAAGTGTTGTCCTGAAAAGGACAGGTTTAAGTTTTTTTAAAAGTATTTTCCTAAAAAGGACAGTTTTCTAGTCATTGAAAAGTGTTGTCCTGAAAAGGTCAGTTTTCTAGATGTTGAAAAGTGTAGTCTTGAAAAAGTCAGGTCAGCATTTGTTGAAAAATGTTGTCCTGAAAATAACAGTTCTCTAATTATTAAAAACAAGTTACCCTGAAAAGGACAGATTTCTGGTTGTTGAAAAATGTTGTCCTGAAAAAGGAAGGTTTGTGGTTGTTGCAAAGTGTTATCCTGAAAAGAAACACGTTTTTAGTTATTCGAATGTGCTGTCCTGAAAAAGACAGATTTCTCGTTGTTGACCTGAAAAGAATATTTTTGTACTTATTGAAAAGTGTTGTCCTGAAAAGTACAGTTTTCTAGATGTTGAAAAGTGTAGTCCTGAAGAGGACAGATTTTTAGTTGTTAAAACGTGTTGCCCTGAAAAAAAAGAAAGATGTGCATTTGTTGAAAAATGTTTTTCTGAAAACAGTTTATTACATATCGTTGGTGCTGGCAAGGATGGCTAGAAATAAGAAAGGAAAAAGATGGAAAGAAAGGAGAAAGAAAATTGGAAGAGTGAAATCAGTAGGTAAAGAAAGAAAGACGGAAATTCAGCTTGTGAAATCGGTAGATGAAGAAAGAAAGAAAGAAAGAAAGAAAGAAAGAAAGAAAGAAAGAAGGAAAGAAATTCAGCTTGTGAAGTCGGTAGATGAAGAAAGAATGAAAAGATGAAAGAAGGAAACTAAGAAAGAAAGAATGAAAGAAAGTAGGAATGAATGAATTAAGGAAATTCAGAGTGTCAAGTCAGTACGTGGAAAGAAAGAAAGAAGGAAGGAAGGAAAGAAATTCAGCTTGTGAAGTCGGTAGGTGAAGAAAGAATGAAAGAAAGAAAGAAAGAAAAAAGAAACAAAGAAAGAAAGAAAGAAGGAATTAACGAAATTTATAGTGTCAAGTCAGTAGGTGAACAAAAAAGAAAGAAAAAAGAAAGTGAAACTGTGAAGTCAGGAGATGAAGACGGAAAGAAAGAGAAAGAAAGAAAGAAATGCACGGTATGTCGTCAGTAGGTAAAGAAAGAAAGAAAGAAAGAAAGAAAGAAAGAAAGAAAGAAAGAAAGAAAGAAGAAAGAAAGGAAGGAAAAAGAAAGAAAGAAAGGAAGAAAGAAGGAAGAAAGGAAAGAAAGAAAGAAAGAAAGAAAGAAAGGAAGAAAGGAAAGAAAGAAAGAAAGGAAGAAAGAAAAAATGAGAAAGAAAGAAAGAAAGAAAAGGAAAAAAACAAGAAAGAAAGAAAGAAAAAAAAGAAAAAAGAAAGAAAGAAAGAAAGAAAGAAATGCACGGTATGTCGTCAGTAGGTAAAGAAAGAAAGAAAGAAAGAAAGAAAGAAAGAAAAAAGCAAGAAAGAAAGAAAAAAGAAAGAAAGAAAGAATGAAACAAAAAAAATCAGAGTATAAAACCAGTAAGTGAAGAAAAAAGAAAGAATGAAAGAAATTGAAACTGTGAAGTCAGCATGTGAAGTAACAAAAAAAGAAAGAAAAAAGAAAGAAAGAAAGAAAAAAACAAACAAACAAAAAATTTGCAAAAGAAGTGGTCGAATTTTATAGAAAAGAAAAAAAGAACTGACAATTCGGCGCATTTCGAAGAGAGAAAGACCAATTCCAATTGTCAAAAAAGTAATTTAGAGGTAGAGAAAGAATATACATTTTATAAGGTATAAAAAGGCAAGTTTTATTTTTTTCAATTTCAACTTTCCCACAGGTAGAAAAAGAAAAAAAAAGAAAAAAAAAGAAGCGAATAAGATAAAAGAAGCCGGGAAAATATAATTACTTAAAAGGAGAAATTAACAAAGTTTCATCGTCGAAGGAATTCTATGTTTGCATCAAACATCTGCAAGTATTATGTCTGTGTTTCAATTGACGAAATTTCCATGAAAAAAAAAAAAACCCAAAACAACTTTCAATTATTATTGAGAAAAGACTGCCATTTTCCCAATATTCATTTTATTCCATTTTCTGAAATTTATTTGCTTTTTTTTTAATCTCTTCCTGCAAATTACAGTTCAAGTCCAGAATTATTTCATTTGTTTTCCTTTCAAAATGGCGCCCCTGCAGCCTCAAAACCTCTTTTCGTGTACTACTCCTGAATCTCATTTTTTTTTTAAATCTCACATACTGAAGAGCTCCAGTATTTTTCTGGAATATTCTATATGACAATCTTCTTTATTTTACACTCAACTTTTCTATTCATTGTTTTGTATTTGTCTAGTTCTTCTTCATTTTTTTATGAATCTTGTAATGTTTTTCGACAGTTTGTTCTCTTTTAGCGGCCATTGTTTTCAAAAGGTCACGTGACATGCCCTTTCAAGACAAACGCTATTAAGCAGCGCGTTCTTTTATCGAAATGAAGTCGAGGAGAAGAGGGAATTGGTGTGAGGATAATGGCACGAAACGCATTAAGGAATAGGAATAAATTTACAAAAAAAAAAAATAAATAAAACAAGAATGAAGGAAAGAAAAAGAATCGGTAAAAGAAAAAGAGCTTATTCGAAAGAGAAAAAGAAAGACACAATGAATTAAGAAAACAGAAGGAAGTATTACATGAATGAATGAAAAAGAAAGAAATCCACATTAATAGAAAGAGAAATGAAAGACTATAACGAAAGGAAGATTAAATGAATGAAAAGGAGAAATAAAGAAAAAAAAAGGAAGATAATAAAAGAAGATATTAGTGAATGAAAAAAGGTTGTATAAAAGAATGAGAGAAGTGAATGGAAAAAAGGAAATGATGAATCAATGACAGGAAAGAGAAAAAGAATGAGCACAAGAAAGAAAAAAAAGGGGGGCGGGAAAGAAAAGAAGGATGAAATAATAAGAAAACGTAAATGAAAAAAAAATAATGTAATGAAAATAAAGGAAAAATAAGTGGAAAGAATTAAGGAATAAAAGTAGAAGGAAAGAAGAAAGAAAAGAAGAAAGAAAGACAGTAGAAAGAAAGAAGAAAAAAGAAGAAAAAGAAAGAAACAATGAAAAGAAACAATGAAAGAAAGAAAGAATAAAGAAGACAGAAAAGAAGAAAGCAAAAAGAAAGAAAGAAGACAGAAAAGAAGAAGAAAGAAAGAAAAAAGAAGAAAAGAAAGTAGAGAGAAAGAAGAGAAAAAAGAAAAAAGAAAGAAAAGAAGAAAGATGACAGCAAAGAAGAAAGAAAAGAAGAAAAAAATAAGAAAGGAAACAGTAAAGAAAGAAAAAAGAAAGAATGGAGGATAGAAAGAAAAAAAGGCAGAAATGAAGCAAGCAAGCAAGAAAGCAAGAAAGAAAGAAAGAAAGAAAGAAAGAAAGAAGACAGAAAAGAAAGAAGAAAAAACAACTGCTTTAAACGAATTTCAAAAGAAGTAACACAAGGAATACAAATGAAAGAAAAAAGAGACAAGAAAAACGAACAAATAAATCTATATAATAAATGCGAATGTCAGTGTGTCACATTTTTTCAACTTGACTCTTAGAGGACATAGCCCAACGTATCATGCCATTTTGGAATCGGGCCGACCCCGTGAACAAATTAAAAACATACCGTGCCATATCCCGACCCGCAATCCAGAAATTGTGGTTTCCCAAGTTTTCATTACTGCGATTGTTTTCGGATTCCGCCATTTTAGCTTCTACTGATGAAAACAAATAAAGGGACACAACTCTCTATCTTTCAATAGCTCATGTTCAAATAAAAAAAAATATTGTTCACAAATTAAAATACTTCAAAATAAAATTTTCCGTGTTTTCAACTTTAGTTTTAGAAGCCGTAGCCCAACATATCACACCATTTGGAATCAGGTCAACGCTGATAGCAAATTAAAAACATTCCAGGACGTATCTGCAGCGGAAATCCCGAGATTTTGGATTCTCAAATGTTGGATTACTGCGATTGTTTACGGCGATTTTTTACGTGATTTTTTTGCGACGAATTTACGAAGTTATGTAGGATAATAATTTTTATAACATGGAAATAAATTTGGGAAAATATGAAATAAAAATAATCATTTGTACGGAACGTAAGGACATGCGTACATCAAGCTGGTTTTAAATTAAGCGGCGGCAGAAGAATTATCGTTGACCTTTTAAAAGATAAGCTTTAATATTAATGGAATACCTAAATACAGCGGTCAATTTTGAGTTCTTCTGTAGTTTATTCTTGCCTATCGTATACGACAGCAGTTTGCCTGGCAAGAAGAAATCTCCACCAACAGAGGACCAGATTGCAATCAAAAGAACCAAGGCTGCAGCGAGGAAAAGAAAGCCCCTTGCAAATGAAAACCCAGATCAAACGGCAGCCAGGCGAGCTACCAATGCGGAGAATATGCAAAGACTTAGGGAACTGTCAAACTCCTGAAGAAGCTGAACGCACAATCAAGAACCCTCCACAGGAGTTAGCTTATCTGCCACCCGATAGGGCATCTTTTAAGTCGGTAAATAAATAAAAATCAAAGAAGAAAAAATGCGAATGTTTAAATGGCAGAAAATAATAATGGTAACAATGAATAAAAATAAAATGAAAATATAACTAAGTAGAAAGAATTAATGAATGAATAAATGCCAACGAATGAAAAAGTGAAAGAAAAAAACGAAAAAAAAAGTAAGAATGAAAGAGTGTGTAAAAATACATGAATTTTGAATGAATAAAAGGGAAAGAGGAAAAAGAGAATAAGTTCTTCAAACGAAGTTGAAAAAAAACAAACAGAATGAATAAAAGAAGGCAAGAATGAGAGGAAGAAAAAGAGGAATAGGAAAGGGAAAAGAAATAATAAAGCATTTTAGGAGAAAGTGTGAATGAAAGAAAAGACGAAGAAGAAACACTAAAAAGAAAATGAATGAATAAAATTGTAGAAAGTGTAAAAAAAAAAAAAAGAAATACACTGAAAAAATGAAGGAGAAAAGAAGAAAGAACATTTGATAAAAACGTGGTAAAAAGAAACAAATCGAAAGAAAAAAATGAATGAAAGAAAAAACAAAACAGGAATGAAGAAAAAAGCATGGATTAAATGGAGACAAGAAGAAACAGAAAGAAAAATGAATGAAAACTCGATTAAAATGTTGAAAGAAGAAAACCTGAAAATAAATAACGGAATAAATGAATGAAAGTTGTGAAGAAAATGGGAATAAGTGGATGAGTGTTACAAAAAATTGAAAAAAAATAAGAGGAATGAAAATGAAAGAAACTGAAAGAACGAAAATATGCAGGAAGAAAATGATATTAAAAAACAAGAAAAAAATCAAACATTATGTAAATAAAATTTTAAAAAATCAAGAAAAGAACCCATATATATATATATATATATATATATATATATATATATATATATATATATAGAGAGAGAGAGAGAGAGAGAGAGAGAGAGATAGATATAATTATATATATATAATTTATTTCCTTATATATTTGAAAGAGCTCTATTTTAATATACCGTAATTCCCCGTATATAATACACATTTTTCTAAAATACAATAAACAAAATTAGAGATGCGTATTATGCACAGATACAAAAAAAATCCTTAAAAAGTTGCCGTTTCATAGGTCGATTTAAGTTGAAAATGATTATTGACCACAAACATACGACAATTTGACACAAACATTCGGCGATTGTGACCCCATAAGGATGTCAAATACAATCATATGTACCTAACAATACTTACAAATGTAAAATAAAATAAGAATTAACATAAAACTAAATTAGAATAAATATTATTCTATATTTAAAACTATTTTTTCTAAAAAAACTACATACAGATCCGGTAGATTGCACATTTTATCGAACAAAAACAGGTTAATGAGTCTGCGCAGTAGGCACAATATAGGTATTTCCGGTTCCTTTTAGAATCGTGATGATCGGAAATTTTAATAAATATCTTCAATTACAGCTTGAATAAAAGTAGGAAGCGCCGGCCGTAATGAAATTGGAGAAGTACAATTTATAGGGTTTGATTACCAAAAAGGGGTGCGTATTATGCATTGTCCAAAACTTTCAGCACAATTTTAGGTGTTCTTATTATGGATGAAGGCGTATTATATATGGGGAATTGCGATATATATGGGAATGTGTGCTTATGATGATTTTATAAGCGTAGTTTAGATGTGACACAAAGCCGAAAATATGGGGTCCCAATGAGGATTAAAGACACTACTCAGTCTTAAATTGATCCAGTGCGACAAGCTTGCTAAAAATTACATCATACAGGTGGGCATAAGTTGCGAGCTTATTCGTTCTACCTTGACTTGTATAAAAACACATATGCTGTTGGCACACTGAAGGATTTTAAAACCCTAAGTCGATAGATAAATAGCAAAAGGTTGCCGACCCATGCTTTATCCTATAACTCTTTTATTTGTTTCCTTTCTTATTCTGCCTTTCTTTATTTTCTTCCTTATCCTAGGGGTCGGCAGCCTGTGGCACGCGTGCCACACGTCGCACGCGAAGCAATATTCAATAGCATGTAGCCGCAAATGACATCACGAAGTCCGAACCAATAACTACTACAACACAAAGAAGATATTTAGCTGTTTCAATTTTAATATATACTAAAGTATATATATAATATATATTGCTATATAAAATATATTGTAGAACAGGTGTATTGACCTTGTATAAAAATACGTAGGCTGTTGACACGCTGAAGGATTTTAAAACCCTAGGTCGCTGGATAGATAGCAAAAGGTTGCAATACCTGATCTATAATAAATCTTTGCAATGAAAATTCAACACCCTGAAGATGATCTCAGATCAGATTGAAAGTTCTTGGGAAAATAAAAATCATATAAATAATAATCATTGTTTATCTTGATCAATTTCCTACAAACACAAAGAAATTAATTCGTGAACTTGAGAGGATTAAAATTAAAATAAACAAAAACTATTTAAGAAAACATACCTGAATGAAGATACGCTGCCTAAATATAAAGATTTTAAACATTTATTATATATATATATATATATATATATATATATATATATATATATATATATATAATTATATATAACACCCTTTGAGCGCTTAGCTTTGGAGCGGGTAGAATGGAGATCAACGTGTTTTAGTGGACTCAGCAATTTTCAATCTGCTTGTCTAAATCATCTTCAAGAAGCGAGAGCAAGATCTAAAAGGTCAGCCAATCTAACAATGATCTCATCTCACAATTCTCACACCTGCTCCATATGTGGCCTCCTTTGTAAATCACTAGCAGGTCTTAAATGCCACTTAAGATTATCGCATAAACTTTCATAATTGAATCAATAAGCTGGCAGATCCTCATACGTCGAAACCGACAGGAGAGTCCATTATTATTAACACTATATATATATATATATATATATATATATATATATATATATATATATATATATATATATTATATTCGCGGTACTTTTGCGGAAAGCGCTCAGTATTGTGATAGAGTTAACATAATGAGTTGTATGGATATGAGAGTGACCCTGGGTTTCACGCTTTTGCGATAATCAGACACACTATATTAATCGCAAAAGCATGAAACCCAGGTTCACAAATTATAAATATATAACAGTGTACATTGAAATAGACCCCTAGAGGTGACAGTTCAGATGGCCTGACGATTGCAATTAATCATGAAACAGACTGTCGGGTTTAGGTTTCGACTTCATTGTCCACTTTTGTTATAAGCTCTATCCTTGATGCTGAGCACATTAAACATACCTTAAAAAGTATATCTGTCATTCATTTTATCATTCATATATATATATATATATATATATACATGTATATATATATATATATATATATATATATATATATATATATATAGTTGTATATTTAAGCAGCAATCCTTCGTTTATGCATGTTTCAATAAAAACGACAGACAAGGTACAAGTTTTTTATTTAATTTTTTCTTGCGTTCGAACAAAAGCTTTCTTTTCTGCATAAAAATTGTGTAAAGACTGTCCAAATGTTTTATAGTTTCGATGACTTTCGGATACACCTTTAGGTTGTCTGTTTTAATTGAACTCTCACACACACACACATACACACAAATATATATATATATATATATATATATATATATATATATATATATATATATATATATTTCAGTGTTTCTATTTGTCCCTCTGGCCTTCGATATACACTATGAGTGTTAATTTTCCGAGGACTCCTTCCTCATTATACGTCCTATTGATTATATGTCACTCTTTCTTTATAGGATATTTTGGGCATTTTTCTCAAAAAATCATTTCCGTTTGTTCATGGTATTTTCAGCATCCTTCTATAGAACCGCATTGCAGTTGCCTCTAGTCCCGTTATCATCTGTGAGCAGATTGTCCAGCATTCACTACCATATAGGAGGACTGATATTACGTAACAGTTCAGTACTATTTTCTTTGTTTGTATTGCTTTAAGTCTCTTCTTCATCTGTGAGGAGATTGTCCAGCATTCACTGCCATATAGGAGGACTGATATTACGTAACAGTTCAGTACTCTTTTCTTTGTTTCTGTTGCTTCAAGTCTCTTCTTCATCTGTGAGGAGATTGTCCAGCATTCACTGCCATATAGAAGGACTGATATTACGTAACAGTTCAGTACTCTTTTCTTTCTTTCTGTTGCTTCAAGTCTCTTCTTCATCTGTGAGGAGATTGTCCAGCATTCACTACCATATAGGAGGACTGATATTACGTAAGAGTTCAGTACTCTTTTCTTTGTTTGTATTGCTTCAAGTCTCTTCTTCATCTGTGAAATTGTCCAGCATTCACTGCCATATAGGAGGACTGATATTACGTAACAGTTCAGTATTCTTTTCTTTGTTTCTGTTGCTTCAAGTCTCTTCTTCATCTGTGAGGAGATTGTCCAGCATTCACTGCCATATAGGAGTACTGATATTACGTAACAGTTAAGTACTCTTTTCTTTGTTTCTCTTGCTTCAAGTCTCTTCTTCATCTGTGAGGAGATTGTCCAGCATTCACTGCCATATAGGAGGACTGATATTACGTAACATTTCAGTACTCTTTTCTTTGTTTCTGTTGCTTCAAGTCTCTTCTTCATCTGTGAGGAGATTGTCCAGCATTCACTGCCATATAGAAGGACTGATATTACGTAACAGTTCAGTACTCTTTTCTTTCTTTCTGTTGCTTCAAGTCTCTTCTTCATCTGTGAGGAGATTGTCCAGCATTCACTACCATATAGGAGGACTGATATTACGTAACAGTTCAGTACTCTTTTCTTTGTTTGTATTGCTTCAAGTCTCTTCTTCATCTGTGAAATTGTCCAGCATTCACTGCCATATAGGAGGACTGATATTACGTAACAGTTCAGTACACTTTTCTTTGTTTCAGTTGCTTCAAGTCTCTTCTTCATCTGTGAGGAGATTGTCCAGCATTCACTGCCATATTGGAGGACTGATATTACGTAACAGTTCAGTACTCTTTTTTTATTTGTTTCTGTTGCTTCAAGTCTCTTCTTCATCTGTGAGGAGATTGTCCAGCATTCACTGCCATATAGGAGGACTGATATTACGTAACAGTTCAGTACTCTTTTCTTTGTTTCTCTTGCTTCAAGTCTCTTCTTCATCTGTGAGGAGATTGTCCAGCATTCACTGCCATATAGGAGGACTGATATTACGTAACAGTTCAGCACTCTTTTCTTTGTTTCTCTTGCTTCATGTCTCTTCTTCATCTGTGAGGAGATTGTCCAGTATCCACTGCCATATAGGAGGACTGATATTACGTAACAGTTCAGTACTCTTTTCTTTGTTTCTGCTGCTTCAAGTCTCTTCTTCATCTGTGAGGAGATTGTCCAGCATTCACTGCCATATAGGAGGACTGATATTACATAACAGTTCAGTACTCATTTCTTTGCGTCTGTTGCTTCAAGTCCCTTCTTCATCTGTGAGGAGATTGTCCAGCATTCACTGCCATATAGGAGGACTGATATTACGTAACAGTTCAGTACTCTTTTCTTTTTTTTTGTGCTTCAAGTCTCTTCTTAATCTGTGAGATTGTCCAGCATTCACTGCCATATAGGAGGACTGATATTACATAACAGTTCAGTTCTCTTTTCTTTGTTTCTGTTGCTTCAAGTCTCTTCTTCATCTGTGAGGAGATTGTCCAGCATTCACTGCCATATAGGAGGACTGATATTACGTAACAGTTCAGTACTCTTTTCTTTGTTTCTGTTGCTTCACATCTCTTCTTCATCTGTGAGGAGATTGTTCAGCAGTCACTGCCATATAGGAGGACTGACATTACGTAACTGTTCAGTACTATTTTCTTTGTTTCTGTTGCTTCAAGTCTCTTCTTCATCTGTGAGGAGTTTGTCCAGCATTCACTGCCATATAGGAGGACTGATATTACGTAACAGTTCAGTACTCTTTTCTTTGTTTCTGTTGCTTCAAGTCTCTTCTTCATCTGTGAGGAGATTGTCCCGCCTTCACTGCCATATAGGTGGACTGATATTACGTAACAGTTCACTTCTCTTTTCTTTGTTTCTATTGCTTCAAGTCTCTCAACTTGCAATATAACAAATTGAAGTCCTAGCAAAAATCTGGAAATAAAAAAAGACCCTAAAACATAACACTGTACGAATGCTCTCGTCAAGTGCTTGCGCTCTAGCTTCAACGAGAAAAGCACAAAACGGGTAAACGACTAAACTTAATGTTCTCAATACACTAGGTAGAGCTAAAACTAGAATAATGCTAAGGTGCATTTTAGTTTTATGTAACAATATATTTATAAATATAAAAGACAATAGAAAAACTGCAATAGTAGAAGACGCGTGTCGTCCGTTTTGGACTTTTTCAATGCAAAAACGAACTGAATTTATTAAACGAAGTAACTCATAATAACAAAAACAAAATGTAACAAATAATAACAAAATAAAATCATCTACTGTGCCATGTTAGATCCAGTGACAGGTCCCAAAGTGTGTGAGTTCAATACCCGGTTAAGGCAGTGGAGAACTTTCAGAGGGAAATTAACAGGAGATAACTGACATCCATCAAACATGGCACGTGGAACTAGAATAGTCTACCCCAGTGAGCGAAATAAAGGGTTCAGTTCGACATTCCAACCACATGAAGAAGGCCGGAGCATATAATGGCCGAAACGTTGTAATAAATATGGCGACACAGATGAGCACAATAGTCTGAATAATGTAAATAATGTAAAATTTATTAATGATTTATCGCTTGTGTCTGTCTTTATCCACTGTGCCATGTGTCCTTGAGACATACTAAACTGACACCTTGTCAGACATTTGTTCAAAGCCAGGAGAATCCAACACTGTGTACGTATATGTGTTTTAGATGGGTTCCGTGGGGGAACTGGCAGAGGGACGTTTAGGCTAAACCAACTCTGGTGTATACTGCCGCTGTCCTGGGTGAGTCGAAGTTACGATTTACGGATATTTTTTTTAAATAAGTGAGAAATCCGAGACTCAGATCCAACAAAAAGCCGGAATAAAAAGAAGAAAAAAAAAAGAGACTAAAAGATAAAGTGAGGGTGAGAATTAAAACGATCCAAGAAAGGGAAAATGGAGAGACAAAGAAAAGTAAAGGCAAATAATAATGAAAAAAAAAAAAGAATTCGTATCTTGATCGGGAAAATATTTTAAGCATAAGTTGAGTGATGAAAAAACTATAAGCGCAAAACAAATATAGGTAAACGTAGTCTTGGATATCTTAAGATAATGAAAGCAAATATAAAAGGGAATTAAATTGTGCGATCAAGTGAAAATAGAAATTAAATAGAAGTACATTCTACAGATGGAGTCAGGCAGGTGTTAAAAGGACTTCAATATATTTCATATATATCAACATAGACATATGTAAATTATGGTAATGTGTTTATATAAAATGCAATTATATATATATATATATATATATATATATATATATATATATATATTGCATATATAAATTAGTAATATGTTTATATAAAATGCAATTATATATATATATATATATATATATATATATATAATTGCATTTTATATAAAAACATTACATATTTATATATATAATGTTTTATATAAAATGCAATTATATATATATATATATATATATATATATATATATATATATATATATATATATTGCATTTTATATAAACACATTACCATAATTTACATATGTCTATATGTATATGTATATAGTAATTTAAAGAAAAACAGACCATTTTAAGGCTCCATTTGTAATAATTTATTTCACTAGGGAATTTTGTTTTTTCTCTAGAACTTCCCTTTCAAAAGGCGAAACGAAAAATTAAATTAAAATTTACATTTTTGACGGGCAGTATTAAGCTTATATAAGTTAACATAGAAGGTGGTGAGGAATTGTGTGAGAAACATGATCAAGTTTAGAGAGAGAGAAGCGAGAGTTTCAAAAATTATTTTTATATTTCTTAATATTGGGGAAGGAGTGGGTAACAATCAGACATTGAAATATATATATATACATATATATATATATAAAGAGGGAAGAGTTTATAGTAGTTGCAACGAGAGGAAAGTGTGTATATTAGAAAGAAGAGAAAAATCGCAAACGTTTTTTGGTTTTAATGTGGATTTTTTTAAAAAAATATATTAATATTCTCAATATCAGTTCAAGAAATACATTTTGGGTCACTAATACACACACAAATATCTAATATCGAGAATATTTAACATCAAAAAACATAAGAAAAATTAATCCCTTATTATTCAGAAATATAGAAATATTCAGTCTTTGCTTGATGAAGGTCGCTCGAACGGAAACTCTTGTTGCAAAATTATGGAAAATAAAGTATAACGTATTTTTTTAAAAATCCACATTACAACCAAAATCATTTTCGGTTTCTCTCTTCTTTTTTAATATATATATATATATATATATATATATATATATATATATATATGGGACCTTACATAATGGACTATTTCATACGTAATAAATACTGCGCCTCAAGAGGAAGCAGAGAGTTCGGTCTGAACTCAGGCCAGAGAGTTCGGTCTGACCGGCTGATCGATTGAACTCTCTGCCTTCGGGCGGGGAGGAACCCGAACGAGGCTACGCTGAAGGGCGGGGTCTCTTTCGGGGAGGTAAATCGACCCTGAACCCGTTTATACGGGTGCAAAGGGCATATTTATGGCCGAGCCCACGGGCTCGGAGATCCCACGTTAAACTAGCCTTGTGCCACATGATGTCTCGTTGGGGTGGGTGACTAAATACCGTTCAGTCTGAAGTCTGGAGTGATGTCCGTCAGAAGTCTGTCAGTCAGTCAGAGCGAGTCAGTCGGTCGGGTCAAGAGTCGAGCCAGAGGCAGTCTGAAACAGAGTCGCGTTCAGACAGTTACTGCAAGACATTGGAATAGTAATACTGGTCGAGACTACATTGTTCTCTCTACTAAAACTGATTGTTCGTACTGACACTTTCTACTTCTCTGTATATATTTCTGTTTGTAATATATCTGTGTTATTCCATATCCGTGTTCGAGTTCTTCTTTATTGGTTCTACCTTGGACTATCACCGTGGTACAAGGAACCAGATCATAACAATATAAGTATATTAAAGTTAATAAATCCGTTGGTATATAATCCAAGTGGATGCTAGTAATATAAAATATTACAACTGATCCACAAAAAAGAGCTACATTAATTTTTCGGCTGTCACAGTTAAAATTTCAATACCAAAACGAACCCAGTCTATATACTGAGGTTGAATAAGTTTTCGACGGTTGAAATAGATCTGTCATCCATACTAGGTAATTCTGGATTTTTTTTGTGTAATACTATATATATATAGTATATCTATATCAATATATATATATATATATATATATATATATATATATATATATATATATATATTATTATGGGGTCCACCCCTTTTTCATACAAGTGGACTCGCCCAGTGTGTATTTGTACTGCTGCCAGTGAATACCCGAGAGTAATAGAGAGAGTAAGAGTGTGAGGTAACCGCTTTGCAGGAGTCACAGTTGCGAGCACGTAGACTCAGAAGGAAGTCCTACTTCGATACTGAATTTCCCAGGATTTATATATATATTATTATTGCTACTAACCGCATTTGTGGATCTACTAAACGTATTACCAATTGTATTATTGCGTCAATACATTTATTTGCTATATTTCATTCCTGCGTTTGTCATTCATTTGAGACCGGATTTCATCTCGGAATCCACAACAATATATATACATATATATATATATATATATATGTGTGTGTGTGTGTGTGTGTGTGTGTGTGTGTGTGTGTGTGTGTGTGTGTGTGTATTTTTTTTAGTACCAGATATTAAATTCGAACATATGTAATACCGCTACATACAATGCCTTCATGTTTCGATGCACATCCTCGGATCTCATGAGCCTGTGGTAAAAATTATAATAACCCTTATTTACCACCACCTGATGAGATGCGATAATATGTATCGAAACATGACTGCATTGTATGTAGCGGTTTTACATATATTCCAATGTAATATCCTATAATAAAGAATAATTGCTCTATATTGTATTATGCCCTATTTTTAATTTACTTTAATTTTAGTTCATATCTATTTAACTAAGTACTCAAATCTATCTATCTATCTATCCATCGAATTTTGTTTGTATCTATCTATCTATCTATCTATATATATATATATATATATATATATATATATATATATATATGTCTATTTATTTCTCTTCATACGTATCTAATCAGTTCATATCTATCTATCTATCTATCTATCGATGTTTGTTTATATCTATCTATCTATCTATCTATATATCTATCTATCTGTCTATCTATCTATCTATATATATATATATATATAGATATATAGATAGATAGATAGATATATATATATATATATATATATATATATATATATATATATATATATATATATATATATATGATAGATATATGTGTCTTATCAAGTGATGGTGTTGATTCAACACCATCATTTGATAAGACACCAGAAGTGTTGAAACAAAACGGCTATTTTGTAGTTATTTTATAACATTTTTAAGTTATAATTTTCGAATAAATAATTATATTTGCTCTACCCTGTATTGACCACGCTTTTAAGAATAATAATTGTTGTTTATCGGAATTCATTCCGTATACACCAATCCTATACTTGGATATATATATATATATATATATATATATATATATATATATATTGATGCGTGTTTCATTAAATAATATAGACAAGTTTTGTCTATTTATTTTAAGTAAGTTCTTTTCATATTATCTGGTAAGTTTAATAAAATTCTCATTAAAAGACGAAAGGAAAAAAACCATATTGATACATGTTTAAATCTAATTTAAGCTTTCGGCTTACATAAGCCATTATCAAAGATGACAATTACTTTTCAATATATCAACCAATACACGGAAGAAACAATAATGATAGTCTGTTCTTGTTGAATGAATAATTTCAAAGCAATGACTAATATCGTGTATACGAGACGCGGAAACGAAAATCGCATCGCTCGTGACGTCGCATATGAAACATGCATCAATGAAAATTGCTTCCTAAATATATATATATATATATATATATATATATATATATATATATATATATATATAATATTGTGTGTATGTATGAGATTTCGAGATATAGATTTTAATATATCAATAATAATATTATGGGAAAATATGCTCACTTCCAAAATATTTTACCCAAATAATCAACATACTTCCGATGATTCTCTATGAATATATTCTTGTGATACTAATTTAACTGACCTTGTAGATAAACTTAACAAAATCCGACATACAATAGAATTTGCATACGAAATAAAAAAAAGTTTTTTTTGCATTTACTAGATACCATGCTACACCGTGTTAACAATAGTTTTAAAACCCGGTGTGTATCGGAATTTAACCAACAATACGATTTAATGAACTTCTGTTTCCATCATAACAAAATAAAATCCGGAGTAATCATAGTGTTTTCAGAGCATTAAAAATTTGCAGCCCGCAATATTTACATGAGAAATACATTGAAAATACTTTCAAGCATCTTCATTGCCTTAATTATTTTATATTCATTGCGAAACAAAAGGCTCATAAAATATTCCAAATTAAAAAAAATATATAGCCCCTCCTTACAACCCAATGAATCAAAAAATCTATTGTCCTACCTACTAACTCTGTCAAATCTACAACTGAATAATACGTATTTATTTGTATTGGGAACGCTATATTATATTATTGGGAACGCTATATTATTTATCGAATTCACGTCAAAGCTGATTAACCAATAAAAACCTAGCAGCAGAGTCTCGAGCAGGTTTCAGTGGGCTGTAGTGTTGGACGTGGCTGGCCCAGTCGGGCCATTCTGACAGCACGTTGCAGATCTTCTTCATGCTGACGGTTGGGCTTGAAAGTCTCGTTACTCTTTCGGATGATCCCAGGAATTCCGATTTGCAGCAACGGTTTCCCAGGTCTTAGCGTCGATGTTGGCTTGTCAGTGACCTGAGTTCAAAATATGTGCGTTTATTTTCAAACTATTGCTCTTGCAGAAGACAGGATATCGATCTCGTCTCCCTCTAGGTATGGATTAAATAACCGGCTAGACTGGAATATCTAGCGATGAATGGCAATCGATCTAAGAGGAAGAAAATTGTGTATTCCAAACTGTAAAGACGGCAGCGGATAATGAATCCGATATCGTTTTCTTCCAAGAATGCATGTCAATTTACAATATAGAAAAAGAATCACCAGGAAATCCATGATCGCTTACGTCCTGAAGGGAGATGACATATAAAAAAAAAAAAAAAAAAAAAAGTCTATATTTGTGTTCGTCTTTCAAGCAGCGTCATAAAAACTCATTTCCTATGTCGACTTTTAACTGCAACAATTAATTCCTTCTACGGGGATTACTCACATGACATTTTAAATCATTAATGGCGATCACGACTCTCGGGAAAAAACATTGTCAACGACGTTCAAGTTGTGCTGAGCGTCGCACAAAAAGTATTCTCTCCAACTGTTTCGATTGCTATGCTCTATGACTCTCATGCTGGCTTTGAAGTGTCAACTCAGCTATTATGAAAAGTCTCAATTCATCAGATGTCCCCAAAGAAGAAAATGAATAAGCACAAACGCCGACTGAAATAGAATCGACTGATTCTTAGAGACGGAAACGTGATTGGAATCGGTGTACCAAATATTCTTTAAGTATTTCCTATTTAAACACATAAGCGCACATCTTAGGCACACCAGTGTGATGTAATGTTTAGCAAGCATATCGTGCTAGTTCAATTTACAACTGGGTAGTGACAACAATTTACACTGGGATCTCCATATTGTCTGCCTTGTGCCACATCTAAACTACGCTTAGAAAATCAGCATAAGCACATATTCCCATATATACCGTAATTCCTATTTATAATACGCCTTCATCCATAATACACCCTTAAAATTGTGTTGAAAGTGTGGCAAAATGCTTCTAGTCACGCATAATACGCACCCCGATCAATTGTAGTCTCCAATTTTATTATGACCAGCGTTTCCTACTCTTATTTAACATATCATTAAAGATATTTATCAAAATTTCCGATCGTCACGATTCTAAAAGGAAACGGAAATACCTATATTGTGCCTACTGCGCAGACTCATTAACCTGTTTTTGTTCGATAAAATGTGCAATCTACAGGATCTGTATGTAGTTTTTCACAAAAACACAGAATAATATAATTCTAATTTAGTTTTATGATAATTCTTATTTTATTTTATATTTATAAGTATTGTTAGGTACGTGTGATTGTATTTGACATCCTTATGGGGTCACAATCGCCGAATATTAGCGCCAAATTGTCGTATATTTCTGGTTAGTAATCATTTCGCAACTGAAATCGAGCTAAGATACGGCAATATTTTAAAGACGTTTTTGTATCTGTGCATAATACGCACCACTAATATTGCTTATTATTTTTTTTAGAAAAATGCGTACTATACATGAGGAATTACGGTATATTAAAATAGAGCTCTCTCATATATATAAGGAAAGAAATTATGTATATTTATATTTATACACACACACACACACACACACACACACACACACACATATATATATATATATATTCCAACTCGCGACATAAGAGGTCTCATGTTTCAAAACAAGAGCCGAAAACTTCAATATAATTATTTAAATTAAATTGAGTTAAAATAAGCTCTGTTCCATCTTCAAGCGAAATTTTTTTGGAATAACGTATTTCTGAAATTTACGTGTTTTAATAATTGAAATCAAAATTTCCATGGTAACAGCTAGGGCGAATTGTTTAAATTGGGTAGGCGAGGGTTGGGTGTTAATAATAAGTATCAGTATAGAGTTACTTTCATAGACGTCAAGTCAGGGTAATGTTGGGGTTTCTAAATTTGAAACGGAAAATGTTTTAGCTTAGTCTGGTTTACGTGTCTATGGAGATTTTTTTATTGTTTTATTTTATTTCTTTATGAAAGAGCTTGTGCATATAAAAAAAATGCCGTAACATTTGTTTTTTGACGACTTCATAAAGGGTTATCTTTTTTGTAGGGTATTTAAACTATTTATTTGGGCTTTGGGATATATATATATATATATATATATATATATATATATATATATATATGATTTCTTTTCTTGATTTTTTGAAACTTTTATTGCATAATGTTTGATTTTTTCTTGGTTTTTATTTCATTTTCTTCCTGCATATTTTCGTTGCTTCAATTTCTTTCAGTTTCATTTGTATTAAGTTTTCATTCCTCTTTTTTTTTTTCAATTTTTTCTAACACTCATCCACTTATTCCCATTTTCTTCACAACTTTCATTCATTTATTCCGTTATTTATTTTCAGGTTTTCTTCTTTCAACATTTTAATCGAGTTTTCATTCAATTGTCTTTCTGCTTCTTATTGTCTCCATTTAATTCATGCTTTTTTCTTCATTCCTGTTTTGTTTTTTCTTTCATTTTTTTCTTTCGATTTGTTTCTTTTTACCACGTTTTTATCAAATGTTCTTTCTTCTTTTCCCCTTCATTTTTTCAGTCTATTTCTTTTTTTTTTTTACACTTTCTACAATTTTATTCATTCATTTTCTTCTTAGTGTTTCTTCTTCGTCTTTTCTTCCATTCGCACTTTCTCCTTAAATGCTTTATTATTCCTCTTTTTTCTTTTCTCTTTCTTCTTCTTCTTCTCATTCTTGCTTTCTTTTATTCATTTTCTTTGTTTGTTTTTTCAACTTCGTTTAAAGAATTTATTGTCTTTTTCCTCTTTCCCTTTTATTCATTCATTCAAACTTTCTTGCATTTTTACACACCCTTTCATTCTTACTTTTTTTTCTTTCTCTTTTTCATTCGTTGGAATTCGTTCATTCATTAATTCTCTCTACTTAGTTCTATTTTTTTTTTTAAATTTTATTCATTGATACCATTTTTATTTTCTCCCATTTTTTCTTATTTGATTTTTATTTATTTTCTGACTTAAAAGGCGCTCCATTGAGCAGCATTTAAGCTAGCTCCTGCGAAGGTTTTGTTTGTTTGGGCCTTCGGCTTCTTCAGAAGTTCGAGAGCCCCTAAGTCATTGCATATTCTCAGCATTGGAAGCTCTCCTGGTTACTGTCTGATCTGGGTTTTCATTTGCACGGGACTTTCTTTCCCTCGCTGCAGGCTTGGCTCTTTTGATTGCAATTTGGTCCTCTGTTGACGGAGATTTCTTTTTACGAGACATACTGCTGTCGTATTCGATAGGCAACAATAAACTTCAAAAGAACGAAAATTGATCGCTGCATTTAAGTATTGCATTAATATTTAAGCTTACCTGTTAAAAAAGTTCAACGATAATTCTTGTGCTGCCATTTAATTTAAAGATGATTTATGTAGGCCCTTATTCTCCGTAAAAAAAAAAACAATTTCATGAGTAACTTTCGCTAAATTTCGCAATTGATTTCGAATATAATCTAATTTATTCCCAAGTTATAAAAATTCTTATCGTACAAAAAATTCGTCGCAAAAAAAAACAACGTTAAAATCCTCGAAAACAATCGCAGTAATGAAAACTTGGGAATTCAAAATTTCTGTAACATGAGCTATTGAAAGTTAGAGAGTTGTGTCCCTTTAATTGAAAAAGGGTGACACAGTGACACACTAACATTCGCGTTTTCTTATGTATTTGAAACTGGTCTATTTTAAAGCTTCATTCCTATATTTTTGTACTTTCCTATCTTTCTTAATATCAGAACGTTCTTACGATTCTATGGACAGCCACATAGAAAGGGAAAACGTGGTTTTATTTCGATCTCAAGTGATTCTGTTTGATGGACTGACTAATGGATGGTTCTTTTTGAAGTGTGGTTTAATATTTGTTTCCTTAATTAGTGTAAATAGGTTCACCTATCGTTCTGATATCAGTCATCCCTGATACTTTGAACAGATGTAGGGGTTTATTTCCGGTTCCTTCAATTTAATATGTGTATAAAATAATTAATATATATAAAATTTGTATATAAACTTCTTCCGGTGTCATGTCCGCTCGTAAAAATTGTAATCCTTTTCCTCAAAGAGGCAACTTGGTTTGCTGACAGAATAAGGCACCGTACAGCTTCTAACAAATTTGATTCTCGCGAATACTGGCGGCTGTGTGTTAAATAAGAGTAAGTCTTCAATCACGCCTTTCTTCACTTGATGGCATTATCTGATTCTGCTGATAATCTTTTTAACAGGAATAGAGTCTTATTCCTTGTTTACTGTTTCCGACTGAGCTTCCGATTCATTGTAAAGTTATCTCATTGTCTTTTACTCCAAATAGCACCTTGCGTCTTAGGGGCATTATCGCCCTTCTATTACAAACAGGAATATATACAGAGAAGTAGAAAGTGTTAGTACGAACAATCAAGGTTAGTAGTAATTGTCTGAACACGACTCTGTATCGGATTTCCTCTGACTCGACTGACTGACTAGCTCTGACGGACGCCTCACTCCAGACTTCAGACTGAACTATCGCTTCCTCTGTAGTACAAGGCCGGTTTAACGTGGGATCTCCGAGCCCGTGGGATCTCCGAGCCCGTGGGATCTCCGAGCCCGTGGGCCCGGCCAAAAATATGCCCTTTGAACCCGTATAAACGGGTCCAGGGTCGGTTTACCTCCCCGAAAGAGAATCCGCCCTTCGGCGTAGCCTCTTTCGGATTCCTCCCCGCCCGAAGGCAGAGAGTTCAACCGATCAGCCGGACGTCCAACTTCGGACTGAACGATATTCAGTCCCCCCCCCACAAGGGCGTCATGTGGCACAAGGCCTTTTTTACGTGGGATCTCCAATCAGCCGGTCGCCTCACTTCGGACTGATCTCCCTGCTTCCTCTTGAGGCGCAGTATTTATTACGTATGGAATAGTCCATTATGTTATTATGGGTAAGGTCCCATAACAACCAACAAAGATAATTGAATTTACCGCGGTAAACATCTTCTAACTAGACAGTGGGGTCACTTTATCTTTCTACTGGGGAGCGGTTGGCAGACGAAAACCTTATTTTTATAGTTTTTTTATGGTCTCAAACTACACCCCAGACCGTGTTGCCCAACCAGAGAAACCAAATGCCACAAGTGCGGGAAGAAGGGGCATTTCTCTAAGGGTTGTCAATCAAGCTTTTTTTTTTCACCTGATTAGGAAAGTTCTATTGCCACTAGTATTGTACGAACTGCAAACACTAAACGTCTTTCAAAGGCTATATTAACGGTAAAAATAAACAGGGTAGAAATGAATGCTCGAGTCGACACAGGAAGCTCATAGATTTATTACCGTTGATATTGCAAAAAGAAAACGATTTACATTATTTACATTATTCAGACTATTGTCCTCATCTTTGTCGCCATATTTATCACAACTTTTCGGCCGTTGTATGCTCCGGCCTTCTTCAGGTGGTTGGAATGTCGAACTGAACCCTGCATTTCGCTCACTGGGGTAAACGTTGTGATAAATATGGCGACAAAATGAGGAAAAATAATGTAAATAATGTACGTAATACTTCATCTCAGAAATATAGACAGATACTGAAACATATTTAAAATCCTATATTGTAATAGTCAGGTGGCTATGGCGAACGCTTCACTATCTTTGCAGGTCAGAGGATATATTTTGGTCGGCCTAGAGTGGTGCGAAATCTGTCCTATAAAGTCATACTGGGCCATGATTTCCTCAAACAGCATTCTAGTATTAATCTCTTTTTGGGCGGACCGAAAACAGCGTTGAAAATCTGTGGCTTGGCCGCTATAAATGTTCAGTAACCTTCTCTTTTGGAAAACTTATGCAAAACCTGCAAACCAGTGACCAGAAAATCGCGAAAGCATTCTCTTGAAGACAAAAACGTTTATTCAAGCGGAAATGACAAGAATGTTACAGGAAGGAATAATCAAAAAAAGCAGATCACCATTGAGGGCACCAGTATCAATAATGTCCTCTGATAATAATAAAAAAAGTAGTATCATAGACTAGCATCCGAGACGAAAAACAAGGACCATAAAATTAATCGAGTGATCTGTAGGTTAATGCAACTTTAAAATTTTGTTTGCGAAAGGATTTCGCCATTTTATATCATTAACTTTACTAATCTACTTTTTGTATGAATGATTCATTATAATATATATATATATATATATATATATATATATATATATATATATATATATATACCCAAGTATATGATTGGTATATACGGAATGAATTCCAATAACCAACAAATACTATTCTTAAAAGAGGGCTCAATACAAAGTAGAGCAGATATAATTATTTATTTTAAAAAATTTATAACATAAATATATACTATATATATATATATATATATATATATATATATATATAGAGAGAGAGAGAGAGAGAGAGAGAGATAATAAGAGAGACTGAAAGACAGAGACAGACAGAGAGATAAACATATAAATAAATAGATATCAAAACAGATAGTTAACTAGATATAAACAAATTGAGATCGATCGATCGATCGATAGATAGATAAACAGAAATAGTTAGAAACAGAACTAGATAGATATATAGATCGATATAAACTGAGATAAACACAGACACACATATAGATACATACATACATATATATACATATGATAGATAGATAGATAGATAGATAGAATGTACTCTTGTTTCATAACGAGGTTTCAATGTATTTATTATCTAACAGAAACACAAGTGAAATTATTTCCTTTCGTATCATCTCAACATTTTCTCATACTTTTTTCGGCCGTGGAAAAAGATAAAGAAAACGAAAAATATGACAGCTGCATTTTATTGCAAGATACTGATGCTAATCATCCATTCCAAATGTCTGCGTTAACACTGTTGATTTAATATTTTCATGTGCCGGATGTTGTGCCCAAAGCGGAAGTGCAAGTTATATTGGATCCCAAATGACGCCATCTTTCCTATTGCATCTTATTGCTTTTATTGCAATACATCAAGTACAGAATTTTATTTTCCCGTTATTCTTTTTACCACATCGCATTTTCGCTTCTCCTTTTTATTTTTTTTGTTGTTATTTCTCAGAATTTCTAATTTTCTTCAATACATTTTCTTATTCTCACAGTTTTACTAAGATTTCTGGCCTATTAATAAATCCGTTTTTAAAAGTACATTTCAACATAGCACACTCAAAGCGTTTTGAGTTAGGTAGACAGGCATAAAGATATACTGAATATTAATCTAACAGAGAGATAGATAGTATAACAGACTAAGATAGATAGATAGATAGATAGATAGATAGATAGATAATGAAGAAGCTGATAGATAGATAGATAGATAGATAGATAGATAGATAGATAGATAGATAGATAGATATGAAAAGACTGAGATAGATAGATAGATAGATAGATAGTATAACAGATTGAGATAGATAGATAGATAGATAGATAGATAGATACTATAACAGACTGAGATAGATAGATAGATAGATAGATAGATAGATAGATAGATAGTATAACAGATTGAGATAGATAGATAGATAGATAGATAGATAGATAGATAGATACTATAACAGACTGAGATAGATAGATGGATAGATGGATGGATAGATAGATAGATAGTATAACATAGATAGATAGATAGATAGATAGATAGATGTGAAAAAGAAAAGATAGATAGATAGATAGATGAATGGATAGATAGTATACCAGATTGAGATAGATAGATAGATAGATAGATAGATAGATAGATACTATAACAGACTGAGATAGATGGATAGATAGATAGATAGATGGATAGATAGATAGTATAAATAGAGATAGATAGATAGATGGATAGATAGATAGATATGAAAAGATGAGATAGATAGATAGATGGATGGATAGATGGATAGATAGTATAACATAGATAGATGGATGGATAGAT